GACTTTGAGTAAAGCAGATTACCCTCCAGAATGTGGGTGGGCCGCATCCAATCAGTGGAAGGCATTAGGAGAAAAGACTGAGGTCCCCTAGGGAAGAAGGAATTCTGAGATGGCCCTCAGACTTGAGCTGCACCATCCACTCTTCCCTGGGTCTCCAGCCTGCTGACCTGCCATGCAGATTTCACAAAGTGCCCATAACTGCATGAGCCAATTCCTTAAAATAATTCACCCTCTCTCTCTCTCTCTATGTATCTCCTATGGATTGTTTCTCTGGAAGACCCTCATTCAGAAACCTTACAGACTTCCTTTGGAGTGGAGCCTGGCAGCTCCCTCAGAATTTTCTCTCCGGACCCCAGCGGGCAGCACATGCACTCTGACTGCATTTTTTCCTGCCATCAGCCCTGCTTCACACCTTGTGGCTCATCTGACTTATGTGATGTCTCGTACACTGGCCAGCCATGCAGGGCAGCCCCAGGGCGTGAAGGTCTTCCTCCCAGCACACATGCTAGGTGCAGGATATACTTCTTTCTAATTGGAATGTGGAAACGGCAGAGCAGGGCAACAGTGTTTGTCCCACCAGATGTGACTGCCAGCAAATCTGGGGTGGGACTGACACTTGGACACAGGATCTTATGCATGGAGAAGCCAAGGTGCGGTGAGGGACTTGCCTTTGGTGTTTCTCCTGGCCTGACTCAGCTTGAAACCACTGGAAGTTTCCTGGCCTGCTGAGCAGCATAAGTGGATATGTGGGTGGATGGCACAGGTGGGTGTGGGGCCATCCACCATATAGGCTCAGCCACAGAAGAGCCAGGCCATGGAAAAAGAGCCGAGGAAACACAGCTCGGTGTTAGAAACTCCAGGGAATCCAAGGACCATAAGTCTGAAACTCTGCACAAGGCAGGGACTTTGGACTTACCCTCAAGCCCTGTGGCCTCTCCTGACCCCTTCAGTTCTTCCCCATCTCTGTCCCTCTTTGTGGGTCTGACTCCTTCAAGATGGCCATGACTTCCCCAAGGCTGCAGTGTTCACAGTGATAAGACCCTCTCCCTACTGACCATCAGGGCCCAGGGCTGGGATTTGAACAGCCTTAATAGCAGTCACTCTCTTCAAACATGACCAACCTGGGACCAGGGGGTCAAGAGCTCGTGAAACATACCCTTCTAGGCACTTGAGTCCTGTTTTGACTCATGTCAGTGTCACCTGTCTACACAGCCTCACCAAAAGCCTGGTCCTCAGCCCCCAGCCCCAGTGAGCATCCAGGATTGGGGCTTTTGAATTGAATGCAGCAGATGTCCCTCCTGTGATTCAGAAAACAGTGGGTAAAGGACCCTCCTCCCCAACAGCCCACGTGCTTGTTGAAGCCCCTGCCCCTGCTCTGCTCCAGACCCAGGCAGTGTGGCCTCATTATAGGAACCTGGCCTAACATACCCTCACATCAGCCTCTGCCTCCCCTTGGCAGGGAACCAGAAAGCTTTTCAGCCAAATGTTCAGAAGAAAATCTTCAGCCAATGAAGAGCTCACAGTGTGGAGCACACTTGGCAGCCCCAATAACTCATGCCTTGTTTATTCTCACCAATGCTCACTCTTATCATCCTGCGTGTGTTTCAACTGCTCTGCGAATGTTCTCTGTCCAGAAAGAGAAAGTGGTTGTTTATTTCTCACCATTTCAGGGGGAAGGGCTCCCTTACAGGTTGTTAATATTATGCTGAAAGGAGAAGACAAGTGACTCAGACTCTGAAAGTGGATCGTGTACATGACTCTCCTTGGGGTTTCCTGTCACAGTGTCGGGGTAGGGAGACATGGGATGTGAGAGGCAACGTGATGATTTTGGATGGAAGGGGAGGCTGAGGGCATGGCTTTTATCTAGACTGCACACTTATTTGAGGGCTTGGAGGGGGGCTGGCGGTGTTACATTGAGGCCAAGCCCTGCTCTAAGTCCCCCATGGCACGGGTTCTGGGGGCTCCTGGCGGCAGTACCTTCCTCCTGGTGTAGCAGAGGCAGAGCCCTTCCTCTGGCGCGCCTCGGAGCTGTCCAGGGTCCTGAAGTGCAGCCCTCTGGGGAACGCGCACGACCCCCCCCTCCCGCCTCCACACTCGCCACGACTCCTCCGTCGCTCGCCTCTCGCGCGTCGGACGTACGGTCGTTCGTCGTTCTACGTC